GATTTTACTCCAAATCCAGACCAATTTATTTGCAGCTTCAGGACCTTTTTGTGGGCCATCTGCAGGTCTCGCTTCTACTCATCTTTCACAATCAACTGTCTCATTTTCAGACCTTTTCCAGAGCACTTTCTCTAAAGTTGCCCCTCCCCTGACACAACCATACACTTTATATCCCCCTGCCTTGTTTTATTTATCTGTCGAATTTCCAACTATAGAACATTCAGAATGGAAGAAATGCTGTTATATTTGTTAGCAGCTCCATCCAGGCATCCAAATTGACTCCAGTTTGGAAGGTTGGTCTAGAAACTTAGTAAGAGAAGGCTGGAATTAACCGTTCTTTCCCGGGGCAATGTATTTTTAGAAAGTCTCCTACACGGAAATTGCACTGTTGAAGGGATGACCTCGGTGCCATGGGGCTTATCATCACTCCGTGAGTCTCAGAATTAAGCATCCCTGTGCCTGGGACCCACATAATACACTTTCCCACTTTTCTACTCCCTTACCAATTCCAACTCCATTTCTCTGCAATTTATAAGATAGGAATAGTTAGAAGACTCACCTCCAGACAAAGAAGTTATAAAAATGTGTTACTTTTAAACAGGCTTAAATTGTGACCATGTCATTGATATAGTCAGTGATGAAAAATTCTGTCTTACTATGAAATTTGGTCTCACCATTTGGAAATATCTACTTTGCTATCTCCTTTCCAAATTTTCCAAATCAAAATTAAGAAAGTTAATTGAAAAACATTTTGCACACCTAAATATGGCATAGCAAGAGTCTTTCCATTTCCATATATGAATGACCTAGGCAATTACTTCCGCCATTCAAAACTTCTGCTTTCAGAAATGTGCTGCTTTTTTTCTAATTTGAAGAACAAATGTGATTTTTAAAGCACCTCCACTGCTCCACTTTATTAAATAGGATGGGTGGTGAATGTAGCAGTAAGTCTGTTTAAAGATTCACTCCTGCACTGCAAGCTCTTGCCAATATTGCAAATGTGAGTTAACATTCTGGAGACCAAACCATCTTTCACAGATAATGGATATGCAGAGTCAGACAGCATGAATCTGCTAGAGGCATAGCCAGATTCCTCTTAAGCAAGAGAAAGACAGAATCATTATTCTGCTGGCCAAGTGATTACCTGGGAAAGGAGCCCTGCTGTGCATATCCAATCCCTGGTAACTGTGTTCTTTGTAAACTGATCATTTAACACATCTGTATCTAAATACCAATCATTCTCATTAAAAACTAAAGAACCATGATTTTACCCTGTTTATATTTAGTTAGAAAATTAAACTATTTTCTATCTTAATTCTCCATTTGTCTTTAGAGGTTCAAACCAAAGGTAGAAATAAATAATACTATGGAAATGTGTATCTGGTGCAACATTTTATATACCCAGTAGGAACAGTAAAGATGACAATGAGGGGCAAATAGGTAATGATTGGAAGTAATATTCCATATAAATTCCAAGGCAAGTCCTGCTCTTTGAGACTTTTAACCATGTTTTAGCGGGTGATACTTAGGGCTGAATATGAGCAGAAATGAAATAATCATGATGGTTTATATTTCATGATGTGATTTAAAAACCATTATGAGAATTAACTTTTCCATCCTCAGAGCAACCATGGAGAATACTATTATCATTCTACTGATAGATGTGGAAAGTAAAGCTCAGAGAGCCTCAATGACTTTCCCAAAGTACCCCAGCTGACGATGACAGTAATGAACTTAAGTTGTCTTTGTCTAAGATCAGAAATACTACCACTATAGATGATGGTGTTTGCAACTTCTATACACTATTTCCAATTGTGTGTTGAACATAAACGAGTAAGTCAAAGATGAGATGCATAGGGTATTAGCTATTACACTAAAGAAAAAAACTGCTTTCTTGTACTTCTAGGATATAGTCATAATACCTGCACAATACTTATCATTCATTTGTTCCTCCAAGTATGTACTGAGTGCCTACTATGTACCAGCAAAAGCAGTGACTACTGAGACCAAAAAGAATTTCTGTGTTCTGCAGACTCATAATCCAATGGATTAGAAAAATACAATTAGAAATCAATGTGACAAGCAACATAGTGGTCCTAAACAAGTAGATGTGGTTTGTACTTAACCTTCCTGGGAAGACCAAGGAAAACTCCTTTGAAGAATGAAATAGAATGAGTTGAAAAGTTCAGTCACATGTGAATGCAAGGGAAAGTGCCAGGCAGAAGGGAAGTAATTTGGAAAATATGGACATAGGCACAACCATAAAGTGGTAAGATCTTTTAGAAATATTTTGCCTGGATAGTCCCAAGCAATACAAGAGTATAAACTTTGCAAGTGTATTTATTTAAAATGTATTTGGTACTTAAAAATGAATTATGTGTACTTTGTTACTTAATTAACAACTTTTGGTAAAAAGAAAAAGTAATGGTAAAGTTCTGCAATCCTTACACAATAATTGGAAATCCTCAAAGAACTCAAAGACTGACAAATGATTAATGCTTAATTATGGAGACTATGGAGAAACAGAAAGTATATTCTAATTAGTGACATATTCATAAAACACCAGTAATATATAATTTTTCCATGAGCTCTCTATAGAGATGGCATTAACCAACTGTAACATCGTCAAATTCTTAATGAAGTCTCTGTCCAAGGTAATGGCATGTCATAGTAAGCTAGACCTTCTGAAGAAAGTTAATGTGCCTCTCTGACATTCCTTCATTCTCTGAAAAATCTTTCCTAAGGTTTTATTCTTCCCATCACTATCCATTTTCTACCACTCTTATGTATGTGCATCCTATTCTTCTTTCTTTTTCTACTTACTTTCATTCACTATCAAGTACAGAATTCTCTGCTAGCCAACCAATAAAAAATCCAGGCCTGAGCCTTAAAGCAGTCAGTTTGTGATTGTCTTTTAAGTGCCTAAGAGATCTGGGAACTAAGTCTTTTCCAGGGACTAAGCTCAAAACCAAAGGAAAGGATAAAGGATCAGGTAGAAAGACTTGGGCTAGAAAAGATGGAGTTAAACTCGATGTGGCTAACAGAGCTTGGATCCATATAAATGGATTCATGTACTGTCAATAAGATATATGGCATACTAATTATTTTGCTGAAATTCAGTAAATGGATATGAACCACTTTTCCTTACAGTGTTTATTATCCAGTGAACCTTCTCTCTGACCTCTCTTCCTCTGTCACTATACAAATTATTTTCTGAAGCAGGCGTTGACTAACTACAACTCATGGGGCAAATCCAGCTCACTACTTGTTTTGTGAATAAATGTTTATTGGAATAAAATCACACCCATTATCTTATTTATTGTCTGTGGCTCCTTTTGTGCATTAATAGCAGAGTTGAGTAATCATAACAGGGACCATTTGGCCTACAAAGCATAAAATATTTAGTCTCTGGCCCTTTGTAGAAAAAGTTTGCCTGCTCTGAAGAACTCATTAGATAATTATTACCTATTGCCTCATTATTTTCTTTTCATGTGATTCATACTTCGCTGGTGAAATTGTTGGCCTTTTATGATAGTGTATCATGTATTGTAGACTTATATCACTGAAAAATAACAAGTAAAGTAAGCTTTAAACAATAACTATGCAAGTTCCATGAGTTGAGGAATTATATGTTTCTTATTCATTGTTTTACACTCGGTCCCTTGCACTGTGTCAAGTACAGGATAGATGTGCAAAGAAAAAAGATAAAGAATGGATGCTCGTTATTGATTGCTGAGCTTGGGGGGATATCTAAAATATCTTGATTTTAAGGACAACATCCAAACAACCAAACTGACTTAAATCTGGTCATATGTACAAACTGTACATTAATATATAAGACATAATCAAGTAGTCAGCTCCAAACTTGGAGTCAAGGAATGGGTCATGATCTATTGTATTTGAGGTAACTATATCCAAATAAATGGACATCCAGGTATAGCATATTTCCTCTAAACAATAAACATTCTTCAGTATATTTTTCTATGAACATAATGCTTATTCTTTAGACAACAACTTCAAGCTTTAGCACCAACTTAAGACTAATTTAACCTCCAAAAATACACAGAGCCCTCCAGGAGAGGGCTTAATTATCAGAAAAGTAGTGCAGATTTTTTTTTTTTTTTTTACTTCTTAATTGTTCTTTCATTTTTATTACCTTGCCTTAGCTCATGCCATACTTTTTCTCAGGCTGATTTATAGGATTTGAAAAGGAAGCTAAAAGAGCACATTCTGAAGCCTGGAAATGTAGAACCTGCTGATTGTATAGCAGAAAAATCAAAACATTTAGATATTTGTCTATTGACTGCTTAAGGGAGTGCATGTCAAAATAAGGGTCAGTCCAGCATTCCCAGAAAGAACTTTGTTGCTTTGATTCTCATCCATTATTTTAAAAGAAAGGAACTTTTTTTCCCCCTGAAAGTTATAGGCCCAGATGGATTCTGTGATGCTACTGTTTTGTAAGCGTCTACAACTTGACGGCACCATGGTGTTACTGTGTGGTTTTAGCAGTCCTTTAGCAATTGTCCTAATGTCCACACTCCTCCTTCCCTGCCCACATCCATGTGGTCCACTTCAGCTTCTCCCCGAGCAGCTGTTTCAGCATACTGCCTTCATCCATCCTCCACCTGTATCCAGCCCAGTGGAGCTTCATTAAAGTGAGCAGAGCTTCATTGCAGGGGGATTGGCTGCTTGCCAGAGCTTCATTATTACTCATCCTTCTTTACTGCTCATGTGTCATAAGCTCTTGGGGGACACTGAATCAGGTTTGCAAGAAACTCCATGGAGAGTTGTAGCAAGCCCAAGTTTTACTGCCTCCACCTACTAACCTCAAGCTCCACTGGTGACCAGCACTTGCCTGGCACAGAGAGCAGCATGTGCAGATATCCTGTATTTCAAATCCTGTACACTGAAATGACTTGGCAAAGGTAATGATAAGGGCATCTACTTATTTTTATTTGTTATTCTTTTGGCCGTGCCGCGTAGCTCGCAGGATCTTAGATCCCCCCCACGAGGAATCGAACCGGGGCCCCAGCAATGAAAGTGCTGAGTCCTAACCACTAGACCACTGGGGAATTCCCTGAGAGCACCTACTTAGAGAAGAAAAATATATCATCACAATCTTGAATACCATTATGTTAAACCATTACAAGCATTGAGGTTTACTTACCAAGAAAAGCTAAAACTATTAGGACCTACCCTCTCCATGTCAACCAAACATGTGTTTTCCAATCCCTTAATTTCACAACCAAGAAATCTGCATCTTAGTAGAGCTTAATCTTCTGTAAAAATTTAAGCTCTTCAACCAAATTAGGAAAAATACTTGGCAGAATATAAAATAAAACAGAAATATATTCTGAATTCATTTCCCATTTTTCATACAAATGAAAATACAGATCAAATAAGCAGAAAGAGAAGCTTTGAGGTTCCTTGTTTCTCTACATTTTAAAACTGTAAGGAATAAAGAGGCATAAATGGGAGATTATAATCTAGTTCGGTAATTCAGCTTGCCAAGTCGCCACCTTCTAGGTTGCGTTAAGTGAAAGAATTTAAATAATGTTAAATGTGAAAAATATTTTGGCCCTATCTACTCTAACTTTCTCACACTTCAAATGATGAAAAAAGAAAGTAATGTATTAAATATACAATTAGTACCAGACTTGGGGTTACAACTCTTCTCAATTTACCTTACCGCTGAAGGGACGTATCATTTTGTTTGAGACACATAAATTCTCATATCCGTCTCCCAGCATTCAAACGCCCTCCTCAACAAACAAACAAAAAACTAACAACTTTCTGGTTTTCACTGCAATGCTGCATTCACTGTACCCTGAGAAGCCTTACTTTACACAAACTAGAGGGATGGGCCCATGAATTTTACTTTTCCATTGTGCTTGGATAGAAACATAAGATTTGTTAACGGAAGCCCAGAAGACTCCACCTGCCTTCGTGTTTTCCTTCAAGGGTCACAGATGACAAGTGTACTGAAAAGCACATGGTATAAGGAAAAAAGCATAGTTTTAAGGTACACTTAAATACCTGCATTATATATATGTATATATAGGAATGTAGATATAGGTATTACTATATAGATATAGACAAAGCAAAAGCAAATAAAATTTTTAATGGAGAATTAGAAGTTTTATTTGTAAAGGCAAGGATGCTTGAAGAAATTCTAATATCAAAAATAAATGGTTCTGAAGAACATAGGGACAGGACAAGAGTAAATATGCAGGCATAGAGAATGGACTTGAGGACACGGGGAGGGAGAAGGGCAAGCTGGGACGGAGTGAGAGAGTAGCATGGACTTATATATACTACCAAATGTAAAATAGATAGCTAGTGGGAAGCAGCCACATAGCACAGGGAGATCATCTCAGTGCTTTGTGACCACCTAGAGGGGTGGGATAGGGAGGGTGGGAGGTAGATACAAGAGGGAGGAGACATGGAGATATATGTATATGTATAGCTGATTCAATTTGTTATACAGCAGAAACTAACACACCATTGTAAAGCAATTATACTCCAATAAAGATGTTAATATATATAATATTTGGGGGAGAAATTAGTTGACACATTTAGACTGGAGGAGAAAATCAAAGGTATAGATAGATATTTGAAGTGATGGGCTAGACCTTAAATACACATGTAAATAACCTGAAAAATTATTATAGAACATAAAATAATTTTATTTATGTGGCTGAGTAAAAACATAATAGGCAAAACTATATATATACATATATATGTATATATATATGTCCTACATAAAGATAGCCATCTAGAAAACATAATGAAAGAATCCCCCATTTTTACAATAGTAACAGAATAAGATGAACTTCTTTTGGAAAATCTTAACAGGAAAAGGAGAAGATATAAAAATGAAAAGGGGGAGTTAGAATACTTGAATAGAAAACCATGAATTTTCTTTGACTCTGTATTATAAAGATACCAGTTATCCATAAATCAATCATAAATTTAGTGCAGCATTAATACAAATCACCAAAATTATTTTTATTTGCAACCAAGCAAGCTAATTATAGGGTATATTTGGAATAAAAATCTTGCAAGAATTGCCAGGAAGATTCTTTTAAAAATGAATAATGGGTAGGAATTAGCCCTGTAAGATATTTCAATATGTATATAGTTTTAGAAAACAAAGCAACCAGGTACTTATTCCTAAAAGTACAGACAGATCAATGGAATAACAGAAAGAACACAGAATTAGATGCCTAAATAGGAATTTAGTTTATAATAAAGGTAACCTCCAATTCCTGAAGAAACAATTCATCCTTGAATAAATATAAGTAGGAAAACTTGCCAACCACCTGAGAAAAGCACAGTAATAAATTTGAATTCTATATCAGTCTTTAATACAAAATAAATACCAGGAGAATAAAATAATTAAATGGAAAATTGACACAAACATTATCATAAAATTGAAGTCTTTTTCATAATATTAAAGTGGGCAAAAAATTTCAATATAGTAAAAAATGAAGAGTCTTAAAGTATAGATAAATTTGACTACACAATTTTTTTTAAATTCTTGCATGAAAATTATTATTATCCAAATTAACAATCAATGACACACAAAATAAAGATATTGAGCCATCTGATAGGCAAAAATGCAATTCTTAATTTATAATGAGCAATTACAAATCAATGAAAATCTGTGAAAATTCTATAAAAGAAAAGGCAAAGGATATGGAAAGATAGTTCATATAAAAATAAAGGCAAAATCCTTTTAAGTACATGAAAAATACTGTGTAAATTTTCCATTATAATAAAATTTATTCAAAATTGTTAAGATGAGACATGATATTTCAACTATCACAACTGCAAAAGTGTGAAAGTTTCATTATACACTGAGTTGATGTTGGATATGTTGGAATGTGAGTGTGTGGGCTCACATAATGGAAACTTCTTTGCAAGGAAATTTGTTTTTAAGTAGCCAAATAAAAGTCACATAAAACATTTGATAGTCATTTCATTTTAGGATTGTATCCTGCAGGTGTTTTCATACTTTAGCACAAACCATTTGGATAAGGATATTTAGCTCACTATTTTTTGTGGTAGCATAAGATTAAAATCAACAGAAATAGTTAAAAGATCATTGGTTAAATAAATTATGTATAAACGTATAATGAATTAATGTTATTATGGTCATTAAAATTTGTTAAGATCTATATAAATTGATATCAATAACAACCAAGATGTTTAGTTTGGGGAAGAAACAAGTTGCAAGAGAGCATAAATATTATGATACCATTTAGATATTCAGAGATATATCTGAAATGATTCATAGGTCACTGGTAACTGGATATTTCTAGAAATGATTGGAGATACAGAGATACAGCATTGAAGGGAGACACATTCCCTGTTAACCGTTGGTATTATATGAATTTTTCACTATATATATATATATAATGCTTACTAATAAAAATAGTATAAGCAAATGTAGGTTCTCAGTGATGGAAAAGGGGTTGTAAGGAAATGTGCTGTTTATTCACTTGAACTTCACTGAGTGGTTTTTAAACCTTGAGGCATGAATGCGATCTCTATATAAATGAGCTTTATGAAAGAGCTAAGTCTACTGGCACTTCCCTGGACACACAATGAACATAAACCATTGTTTTGAAAAATGCCATCGACAGCTGACTGCATTTTCCCACTTGTACTCAGATCTTTTCACTATTATAGGGGATATATTTTTTCATTCTTTCAGCAAGTACTCGTTGAAAGGTTGTAAGAACTAATTACTGTTGTAGGTGCTTGAGATGCGTCAGTGAATAAAACAGACCATATCTAGGACTTGCCGCTGGGGGAGCTGCAATCGCCTTCTAATACAAATGATCACCTCTCTCTGGGGCTTGAACCCTGACTCTCCACATTCTAGCCTTGGAGGATGGCATGACGCACTTGGAATCTATACACTGGAAAATGTGGATGCATAATTTATTGACGAACACGTGATGATGAGAGTGGATGGGCTAAAATATTATATTCAGAAGTGTATTTTGGCTGACCACTTTTGATGTATGGTATGTGATGTCAATAACAGAAGTGAAACCATTTTTCAAAGTACAACTTAATAGACTTCAAATAATTACATTTTGTTTCTGCAAAGGACTTTACAACTTTAAAATACTTTCATATATTACTTTCATTTGCTTCTAACAGTTCGACCCTAGGAAGGAAGCTGGGACAAGTATTTCTTGCCCCAATTTACAGAAGGAAATGTGAGCCTCATAAAGGTTGTAAAATTTTTAAGGTTTACTTGACTGGTAAGTGGCAGATCTTAAATGAGTGTCCAGGTTTTTAAAATCTTAGTTCAGTTTTTAGGAGCACATTACTTCTTAGGAAATACAAGAAAAGTTCTACAGTTGTTAAATACAGAGACAGTTCATAGGGCCATAAAGTTGCACTGACAGTGCAAAGGTAATAAATACTACTAGTTCTTGCTCATACACCGAAGGGCAATTTAAAAAAAAAATCTACACATGTAATGCTATTAAGAATGCCAAAGATGCAAATATTTTGTATTAACATAACAATAAAAGAGATTAGTCTCCCACATTTTCATGGGTTCAATAGCTCTGATGAGGTTGGAAGAATGTATAACGTTAGCTTCCATCTCTTTCAGTGTTTGTTTTTATATGAAATATAACTCCAAGAATCTTAATGAATAGTGTAATTTTCACTCAGAATAATCTTTTAGAAACTATACGAAGTGTACTAAATTACTTATCAAGTGCGCTAAATTACTTACATTTCTAGCAGATAGTATCCAAACTAAATTGATAAATATAACTCGGTCTCCCTATTGAAGTATTTAGAAATGCTTAGCTAGTCAATATGTATAAAAGCCTTTGAAAGTACTCTGAAAAATACAACAGAATGGGGACTATGACTTACAGTCTATGTGACTATGATCACAAAATCTGAGATCAGGCATTATTTACCAACACTCTTCCAAAATAGTGACAGTGAAAGCATCATCTTATAAAAGGTGATAAAATGATGACATATTAAATGTATTCATTGTGAAATCAGAGCGAGTCAGTGTCAAATAAATCCA